GTCTACAATGAACACAGCAACGTTTCCCAAATACACCAGCGTCAGAAAGACTCCTCCCACTGGGGCCTCTCCGCGGCCTGCGGGAGTGGGCTAGAACGCCTCCTGGGAGATGCCTGTTCATGGGAAGGTGTGACCGCAGGGGGTAACAGCCCACTGCAGCACGAAAGGGTGGGACTGAGTCATTTCTCAAGGCTTCCGTACTTCTAAAGATTCTTAGCTTTCAGTCTTCATTGTGTCAAGGAATTGACGGAGTTGTGGAGTTGTCTCAAGATGACTCATGGTCAAGTTGCATTGATCTGGTAACTCCCTCCACTCACTGCACCCCTCTCTGCTAGGCTTACCTTTGAAACCGTGGCCACACCACGGCCACAGTCCTAGTCCTGCCCTCTCATGGTCTCTGCAGACCCCTAGCCCATGAAGCAAGTCACCTGCAGAGCCGGAGGCACCTCGGCACACGGAGTGCAGCCCTGCGGCGTCAGACACGCTTTCCACACTGAACTACGCCTTTGAAAGCCCGCAGTGCAAACCGGCCACTCAGGCCTTCACGAGTGGCCCTGAGAGCAGCGCAGGGCGGCACTCAAGGGAAAGCACCTCAGAAGCTGAGCACGCACATTCCTGTGCTCCAGGATCTGCACTTGTAACACATGCCCATTACACCACCCAAGTGTTAGAGATACTGCCTAACGAAAAGATGACAATCTGGGCTGGAAACTATTTTTGAAAATAACTACTGGAAAATGGGGCACAGCTCTGAATGTTAATTGGGGATTTTTAGATCATTTATTAAATTGGAGGCTTGTAAACTAAAATATGGCACCTTCAGAATTTTCCAGTAAGCTCTCTCTAGTGATACAGCAAGCGACGTAAGAATGTGGCAAAGTCCATGCTTTCTTTAAAAAGTGTACTCAAATCCCTAAACCTAATGCATCAAAAATGCAATAAGCAATTCACAGGTTTATTTCCTAGGGCCAAGACGGCTTCTCTGCTTCTGCAGTGACCCACAAGGCCAAGGTCAGGTGGCCGAGGAAGCACCAGGGCGCCTGCAGCCACAGGTGTGTTCCTAAGGGGAACTCGGCGGCCCGTGCAGCCCACCGCTGCTGCTGTGTCCGCCTCTGTTAGATTTAGCCAGTTTGACCTTCCCACTTCTAAAACTTCCCCTTTAAACCCCAGGTCTGGGCTTGGTAGAAGAGTAACAGAGGAATGTTCATAGAGAACCAAGTTTCTGAAAAAGGACGGCAGAAAAGAGACATCCATTTTGAAAAGGGCTCGTACTGCCAACCCCATAAGCAAGGCAATAGGGTCATTCTGAAAATTTCCTTCAGTTAAAGATTCCACGAAATATTTAAAAAGACAGACAAGTCTTGCTAAGTGTACCTTTTCAGTGTCCCCATGTCACTCCACTAACTCTCAATGAAATATTAGGACGCTTTTATTCACCAAAAGTGAAGTGGCAGAACAGACTTCATATCCAATTTTAATAGTGAACCTAGATGCTTCTAGTTGCCTTCCCTGCAGCTGTTGTTGCTAAAAAGGTCTCCGATTCTTGTTTTTAAAGCAGATTGACCATTCCTCCTTTTTCTGAGAACACAGGTATTACTGGGTGGTGTTTATTTAATAGATGGAGCATCTCTCAGTGTCTCTCTAGCAACAAGGGCTCCACTGTGCACTGCGGCCTGAGCCCAGCGCTGCCCCCAGCTAGTCCCTGCGCAGCCTCAGAAGCTCCCTCGCGCCAGGCGGTGCATCCTGAGGAAGGGGAATGTTTGAAAACTAAAAGGGAACCTGGTGTCCCTCTGCGGGGTTCCCCCCTCCCTGTCAGCTCAGTTGTAGTTGCTGCACATTTTTAGAAGTCAGGTTTCTACTTCTGGGGAAAGTTAGAAAAATCATGAAAAGTAAAATAAATGATAAATCTTGACTTTTGCCAGTTGTTGGCAAGCTCTGTTGTCAGGGTAGGATGAAAGGTAGTTAGTTCCTTTGGGCCACGGAGTAGCCAAGAGGTCCTCCGACTCTTGGCAACCCTCACGGCCTGGCGAACGCACCTGGATTTCTACCGTCTTTCTGCTGATCTCTCTCGGGCTTGCTGAAATCACACAGAAATCAAACGCTTGCCCTTGTTCACTTTAACTCCCACTACGCCACCTCATCTCAATCCCCCAAAATGGTATGATACTGGCACATCCTCAGCACATCAGAAGCAGCAGGAGTCCTTGAGCATCAACAACAGTGAACAAAGCATTTAAACTATTCCTCCTCATGTCTCCCCCCTCCCCCTCTGATAATTATTTATCAGCCCAGGAAGGAAAAGAGATTCTCAGTAAAGAGTTGTTGGCAAGTTTAAACAATGTGTTAAAAAAAGAAATAGGATGGAACAAGACTTAATAAAATCAAGCAAAAGTGGATCTACTTTAACTAAACATCAGGCATTATTTTTATTTATGGAGAGAAAAAAAGTCAAAAGTTAGAATAATGAAAATTATGCATAGGCTTTACACAAATTTTTAAGGAAATACTGTCAACATCATTTTATCTGAGAATCATTTGCAGACTGCTGTTAACTTGTGCTAGAAATCAAAGGAACACTTTTGTGACAAAAAGAATGAAAATGGTCATTCACTAGGAAATAATCTATTTGGGGGTTATTTGGGGAAAAAAGGTCCATCGACAGAGTATGTCCTGCTAGCAATCATCCCAACCCCATATATGTTAGATGAAAATGTCACCTATCACTCCAAACAGGCAGAGAGCCCTGAGAAAGAATACACGTCAAAAACGAAAGGAGAAAATGACAGATTCTGCTCCCCGCAGAAAGAGACAGCAATCCATTTGAACGGAAAGGTCATTGTCAAAAGCTGATAGCCAATCAAGGTCGATGGTAGTTGAGAGAGAACAATTTCTTTTTCGGAATCCAACTGCCTAAAAGTGACGGGAGAACCTCTGCAGCAGTGAGGGCCACACCGCTGTCTCAACGGTAAGCGGGCGTCTGCGGAGCTGCCTCAGCACGCAGAGAAGGGAAGCGAAGGCCAGTCCAGAGCCAAGGCCACCACCTGACGTGCCTCCAAACATCGCCCCTGCGGGTTCGCCTGCCTTTCTGGGAGGGACCCGCCCACATCGCCCAAAGGGGGCGCTCTTCTGGTGACGGGTGCTGAGGAGACACAGATGCGTCTCAGCCTTCAGTACACTGAGCTGATCAATCTTACCAATAAAGGCAAATAATGCCTCGATCAATGGATAAATGAGACACATGAGACCGTGAAGGAAAACTGTCTTAATCTCAAGAGTTAACTGTTGGAAAGTACTGTTTGTCCAGCCTGGTCACCCAGTGACCGAAAGGGCCCAAAAGACCTGGTTACTTCCCTCAAATAGCCTCCCCTTCTCCTTCGCTTACAAGAATGCTACAGTATTTCACTAACTGAACTAATATGCCCGGCTTCTTAACACAGAGACGGAATATTGAGCTTGAGTTTCAAGGGGTTTCCAACCTTGCGACCAGGCTTTGGGACGAGGGCGTGGTGGCAGAGACTGAGGACAAAAAGAACAGGCTGAACAAACCGCTTCTTCCCAACTCCCTCTGGGGCTCAGCCCCCGAAATGGATGAAAGATCAAGGGTCTCCAGGATCACCAACCACCTCACGAGCAACCTTCCAAACGGAAGTAAGACTTTGGTAAGGAAGGCCACTGAAGGATCGGACTAGACCGAATCCCTTTCCTAATTATTCTTAAGCGTGAACTTTGAATGATGTGTAATGTAATCCCTTCTGTTACTCTCAGAATCTAAGTGTGCATATAATTTAAGACCAGACAAGAGATTCTGGATTTTGTGCAGCTCTTGCTGAATGCAGCAATGTGACTGCAGGTCACTGCCTTGACAGTTCCACCTATTAAGTGGTACCCTGCTTCACTGACAGGTGGTGTTCGGGAGAGAGAAGGAAAGGCTTCAAGTGCTACGTACGAAAACGCTACGTGACATTACACGTCCTTCCCTTTGTCGACAGGCTCTGTCTTCGGTACTGGGGCCACGCCGCGCGCCCTGGACCAAGACCAACAGAGCTCAGCCGTGTTCTCCCCACTTTCATCTATGATTTCCTGCATGAAAAGTTAAATTTCCTCTTGCGACACCCATGAAAAGTGTTCTCCTACAGTGGAAAAAGGTAAGGGCATGTCGTTTTCAAGTGTTATGAACCTGAAAATACTTCAAATTTACTATAACTTCACACATTTGTCTCACCCACATAATCTAAGTCCGTTTTAACCTCCCTTCCCTCGCTACGGGTCACCCCAAGCACGACAAGGCACAATGGCAGTGAGAATACGAACGGTGGGCGAGTCGGGTCACGGGGTCACGTCCTCAGAAAGGGCGCACGAAGCCATGCTACTGGGCTGAGGGTGGGCAAGGGACAGTGGCGGTGTTCCCTGGTCCCGGGTAGTCGGGGGTAATGCAAACGAGCAAAGTCATCTTATAAATGCGTTTCCTTTCCATTTAGCTCCTGAATAAAACGCACAGCTTAAAGGGGAGAACCGCAGAGCAGAACAGAGAGACCCCTCCGGAGCCCCCAGTTTGTTATGGGGCTTCCGGAAGCCCGGCACCGGACTGCTGAAGGCCAGATGTGTCAGAGGAGAACGGGTGATGCGCCCCAAACTGACAGCTCCCCAACTCGGGGCCATCCACAGTCCTGGTGAGAAAGGAACAGGGGTTGAAGAAGAGTAAGGAGACCAAATAATGTCCAAAGGTGCCTGCTTTGTAAGTATCTGCCTATCCCGACAGACACTGTCCCGTTGCCTCGGCGGAAACGGGAGGATGTGGTGTGGCCGACAAAAACTAAGAACATAGAGTAAAAAGACAACGCAGACCATGTACCATGTAATTACAGTTAGGGTTAACAAGTACGAACTGCAAGTGGTGTTATTTTTCCAATGCTAAAAAGCAAAGCTTTTAAAATTCCATTATCTCCAGATGGTTTTAAATGATTACTTTAAATGTGACTATTTCCTAAACCACACAAGAGTAAAATAGAGCATTTATTGATGGAATAACAAAAGTGCTTTTCTTAAATATTCTTCAAAATACATTTGTACAACTTACAATAATATATCCAAAATAACTGTATATACAAAACATTACCTAGTTTTAATGTATGTGCTTTTTTCCCCAAAAATTACAAAGTAACTTCTTTTTTATTTTTTTTTTTGGCAAAGTTCAACCTTAACAGAGGTGACAATTTTAAAGGTTGGTTTAAGAAAATAGAACCTGAGGGAAATTGACACGCAAGAGTCAATGACAAGCAAGAGATTTGGAGGAATATTTTTAGTTTGTTAAATAAAAATTTTTTTAGAGTGATACTTTTCACATTACAAAAATAAACAAAAATGAAGAAAAGGTCACTGTAAAATGATGAGAAAAGGATCTGCAGACTTGCTCTTAGTATCTCAAATAGCCAACAATGCATGTCAAAAAATGAATGCAAAATCACAACAGTCTTGTATTTACTTTGTATTTGGAGAAGATATAGTGAAACAAGTGGCCACATTCTGTTTTCTTTTAATTGCTATTAATATGGTTGATCTGATTGGCTCTTCGATGAATTTCATCCAGGAAGTTCTCCAGTTGTTCTATTAGCATTCTTTTTTTAAACCTGTGTAAAAAAAAATAATAGCACTCTCAATTTCTTGTTAACAGATGAAGCTATGTATCAGTATAATGTTTTTGTTAAAAGAAAACTGCCTTGGCAAGATTTTTCAACGTGAAATGAAAATGAAAAATCAACAACTGTATATGTAAAACCTACTGGAAGAAAGAGGTTACTCCTTCCACAATCAAAAAGAGAAAGGAAAATAACCTAATGTATACAAGGATTACTAACATCCAGCAAAATCAGGGCTCCCAGAGCAGTGGGGGCTCCAGTCACTGCTGTTTATGCTCTTTGCAAGCTGAACGTTAAAAGGAATGTGAACCAGGCACGAACCCAACGCCCCCACAAAGTGTTAGACGACATGAACGCGGGGCAGTGGCACTTAAAAACCGTGGTGTCCTCCTATCACACTCGGAAAGCTAGCAAATCAAGGATCAGACATCCTTAGTACAGAATATGGCCAACAGCTCAAGTTCAGGTTGCAACTTGAAAATTTTTTCTGTTAACAAATACAGTACACTAAAATTGCACTCATCTACGTAAGTACTAATGTTGCTGATGCTTTTCAGAATATCCCAAAATACCGCCTAATCTGTGCCCACTTCCTCTTTGCTTGTGACCACCATATTACACAACTCTAAAACAGTGATTTTTAACCTTTTTTAGCTCATGGTGCACATAAACCAATGGTTAAAATCCTGTGGCACATTAAAAAATAGTTTTTGGCCATCTGACAAAAAAAAAATAGGTGTTAATTTTGATTCATTCACACCAGAGAGCTATTGTCGTGTCGGCTGTTGTCATTCTTTCATTTGACAATCTAAGGGAAAAGAGGTCAGTGACCTTGACCGAACAGGCGGGTGCTGCGTGTTTTACCCCAGCTGAGAACTGCTGCTTTGAAAGACGACAGAAGTAGAGCGCAGGCACCAGGAATATAACTAAATCCACGAAGACGTCTGAGCTGACAGAATGTTACACTAGGAGCAGAGTACGTTAAATATACAAAACAGACGACACGAAAAGTCACCACCTCCTTCAAAGTGGCCTAAGCTCCAGCGCCCCCGCCAGCCCACACAGAATTAACTGTCCGATCGAAAACGAACTTTTAAGTATAGCGTGGAAGAAACTGGGGGACCAAAGAAGGGTCTATTTGGAAGGTCAGGTAAGATAAACCCTAGGATTTCTTAAAATGCTAAACATCTTAAAGGAAAAATAAAAACTAATTTTTGTATTCACTGAACTCATGAAACTCTCCAGGTAAGCACACTATGGAGTTACCATTCATAATCCTGACCCACATTCCTTGCACTAGAACACACAGCCCTGGGCAGCTGAGGCAAGCAGAGTACGGCCCGTCTGTCCAACTCTGGTCCTCTTAATCACGTGCTTTCCCACGTACAAAGGAACTGCACTCAACTGCTGCCTTTCAGGCCACCGGTTCGGTTCTCAGGGCACGTGCCTGGGTTGTGGGCCAGGTCCCCAGGCGGGGGCGGGTGAGAGGCAGCTGATCCGTGCATCTCTCACATACTGACCTTCCTCTCCCTCTTCCTCCCTCCCCTCCCCTCTCTCTAAAAAGTAAATAAAATCTTTAAAAAATAAATAAATAAAATATTGCCTTTCAAAGTGAGTGATTATTTCTTAATCACTCGTTAATATTCACAGCAGTCCAAATATAAAAAGGAGAAAAATTAAAGACTATAAAATACAAAGACACCCAAAGCCAGAGTAGGAAACAGAGAATTATGCAAGTATGCGCAGGAAGAAAAGGTTTGAGTTCTAAAGAATTTCTTTCAATAAACTAAAACAGGGAGAAGCGCTGTTTTATACATATAAATACATACATACATATACAACACAACAGACACTGTTAAATACTGACCATAATGGTCAAAGACTATTTACCTGGATGCTTCTTTAATGACATTTTGTAAAAATATTAGTCTTGTTTGTAAACTGCCTTGCACGTGCTTCAGTAAAGTGAAGATTCTTTCATATTCTTAAAACAAGAGAGGCAAAAAGAAAAATTAAGTGTCTTTCCTTTGCATTCTTACTCAATATTTTTCTGCTGCAGTTTACAAGACGTACTAAGACAAAACAAAAACATCCTATGTAAAGTTTTCACTGCTCATGGAAGACTTTCTAATGCATATATTGCAACACACACCAACAAGATAAAATAACTTGTCAACCACTGCTTTTTTGGTAAAAGGTCCCACTAAGGTATTGAGCTTAGAAGGGTGACTAAACAGCATTTCGGCAGTGCCGCTAAAAAGCGAGAAGCAAGTGGCTTTCACAAAAATCTATCCCTGTAATTGAAATTCTGAACTGCAGCTACCGTGGCGGAACGGGGGGGGGGCGTGGGTGGGGGCGCATGGAAGACACGGAACTGCTGGAGAGCCCCACCTCAGTCTCTGGTCTCACGTGCACCTCCCCGGCACTGCAAGGGCCCAACTGGCAAGGACAGAGTCTGCGCCCCTTCCCGGCCCGCAGGCCGGGGGCCTGCCCGCACCTCCTGCACGGACGCCAGCAGTCCTGGAATTTATCCCATGGAGTTCTTTGTGCTCATATCGTAGGTAGCTTTCCTAACTTCAGTTTTTTGACCTAAACCATCCCTGGTCACTGCTATGGCTTAAATCTTAAACACAGGGCTGGGCTGCTACCGTAAAAACGCAGGTGCTGGCTAGAGGAACACTCAGGACTCTGGGTCCCCGTGACGGCAGCGCTCTGGGTACAGCAGAGCGTCAGCGTCTGCCAGCGGCGCAGAGTTAAGCCTCACACAGCTTACATGTTGCTCCAGGCTGATCTAGAATCCTATGTTTTCAGCTAATCCGACTTATTTTTGGGGGGGGGGAGCACACACAGAAATTAAATCTGGGGTTTGTGTCTAATTGTACATACTTCTTCCTGGCTTTCGAATCTCTTTCATTATTTGTGCTTTGAGTTCAGTGTTGACTTCTTCGTGGCTCCTGCAGTGCACCAGCTTCTTCCCCTTGCTGAGCGAGGACGCTGGTGTGTTCTCTTCGGGGCACTGTACTTTATTTCTCGGCTCCTCGTGATTTTCTAAAAACCCGCCGACAGCGAGGTCGTTAGTTCCTAAATGATCATGACCGAAAGCCTCTGTGTGGTTGGTCGGTCGCTCCAGTAAACCGGCTGGGGAAGGTGATGCAAATTCTGTATCCATAGCATTTGGTGTGACGTCTGATGAGAGTTGGTCGGCAACATGATTCTCAACCACATCGTCTACTGTCGAGTCATTACTAGCTTCTGGAACTAAAAACGGAGATAAGAAGAAAAAACTGTGAGACAATTTCAAAGCACAGAGTAATGAAAACTTCAAAGAAATGTTACTGCAGAAAACCACAAGTGATCTCCTTGACGGATGCAAATGAACAAATAATGTGATGGGATTCTTTGGTGAAGATGTGGAGGATTCAATGTGAAACATTCACAAAATTACAAAAATCTATACAACTTCTGTCCTTAGGGAGGAAAAAAACTAAAAGCCACATTCACTTTTACTTCTCTGTCTTACTTGACAGCAACTTTGCTGAACGAGCAGGGTGCAATGGTTCGGGGACATGCGCAGGACTGAGACGACCGTGCTCGCCCCCTCTCCGGCCCGGGCTGCAGCCCCCACTGCCCCAGACCTCTGTCGTCACTAGGAGGCAGAAGCAAAGGCGGCAAGTTTAAAACGCCCCACGTTCTTCAGGCCACAGCCCGCCACGCAGGCCTTTCACGGCGCGCCCTCCTCTTCCTCACACTCACCCGCCTGGTGATGCGCGACGAGCCGGTGCCCGCGTCAGCCCACCGGGCAACTGGACTTCAAGCCTGCCACCCTGCCACTTCACAGGAGATCGCTGAACTTGCTCCCCGCCCCCAGAAAGCAGCTGAATTCTAAGTTCCCCGACGCTCACCACACCTCTAGGACAACGGCTGGGTTCATCTCCACTCCCCCCACTTACCGGCCCAAACGGACTCATCCCCACAGACCCCTGACTCCCCCATCAAGTCTGTTCCAGGACATGCGAGCGTTACTGTCTTGTGCAGCTTCTCTTTAACCAGAACAGCCTTCCTGCCAAGACACTGCTCTCCTCCGCAGACTGAAACAGAAACTGCTCCCTCTAATGCTCTCCGTGAACGTGGACTCACCGATCCCTCGCCGCCCAGCGCCACCTCAAGACCCTACGTCCACGCACTCCTGGACCAACTCCCACTCCAGACTCTGCGGCCCCCCCGAGTCACTTCACTCATCCTCTCTCCCCACCACGGCCGCTAAGGGTCCCCCGGCACATCGGTGTGGAGACACGATGTCTCCAGAACCCAGTCCGCAGACTCCCTCCCACCCCGTGCCCCTCAGGACAGCATTCTCGGGCCTTACTACTCAAACAGTGTGGTCCGTGGGCCAGACGCATCAGCACCACCAGACGGCTTGCAAGAAATGCTCACCGAAGCTCTACTTCAGCTCGACCAGTGAGAACCTTCTCATCCATCCTTCAAGTACTACTGCAAACAATGTCCTCGTCAAGTGCCTTGACCCCACAGACCAAGTTGAACCCTCAGCACCAAACACACCCACAACATACTTGACTTCCCTTCTGTACAGCTCACCACACTTCTAATGGCTCTCTCTCCTCGCGCATTGTAAGTGACAGCAGAAGTCCCTGTCCCGGCCACAGCTACCCCACCGTGCCTGGTGCTGTCTGAAACAGCACAGGTCTTTAGCAGTGAGTTGTTGCACTACACTGGCCTTGAATTTGACAATGCCCTTTAAAAACTATTTTGAAAGACTTAAGATTTGCAAATATTTTAGATCATGATTGCTCATAAAGCATAACGAACATATGAAATGTTCTACAAACATGCATTAAAAAGACACAAAAACAATTACATGCCAATTCAGAATACACAGATCTTCTCCTGCGGTTCCTGGACATGACAGAAACACCCAACTCTTACTTTTATGAAGAGGAAGGGGTTTGATGAGGTCTGGCTGTGCCTGAGCCGCGGGGGCGGGCGGTCCTTTCCCTCCGATGTGGTTGTTCACGACCGGGTTCTGCTGCCGGCCGCGCAGCAGCGGGGACATGCAGCGGCGCCGTTTGGGGATCCCCTGCATGTTGGGCTCTCCGGGCCGCTTGTGTTTATTCTGAGGCCCAGCCACAAACTCGTCGGCTTCATCTATCATCATACCCTGCAACAGAAGGTAAGATTCCCCTGGGTTTACACACAGCTTTTACTGGCACAACTAGTTCCAATTCCCATTACAGCAACTATATCTAACTGTGTTGACATTTATTAGATACTCTACCGGGAAAACAGCTTTAGCTTACTTAAGTTAGGAACTTTTAAACCCACAGTACCTAGCACAAACGAATTATGTAGTGGGACGTTTCCATATGTAATAGAACTATTTAATGGAAAATTTACCTTTTTATCCAGCTTAAAGGGGTTGCCAAATGTATGCAACCTTCGAGGCTGATCAGGGTCGAGCTCCCTCAGCGGAGAAGGTACTTGCTTGAGGTATTCCTGGTAGTTCCCCATCTGTGCTATAGGAACACTGTGCACTTGGTCTTTTCAAACAAACAGAGCAACAACAAACGTTAACCTCGCTGATCCCTGTTACAGCTGGCACATACCTTCTTTTTTTATGATTTTTCAAAAAGACTTTATTTCTTTTACTTTTAGAGAGAGAGGAAGGGAGGGAGAAAGAGAGGGAGAGAAACACGGATGTGTGGTTGCCTCTCACACGCCCCCTACTGGGGACCTGGCTCACAACACAGGCAGGTGCCCTGACTGGGAATCCAACCAGTGACCTTTCGGTTTGTGGGCCTGTACTCAGTCCACTGAGCCACAGCAGCAAGGGCAACACATATCTTCTTATATACGAAAGTGACCTGGTATTATTCTAGGCAGTCTTCCCTTACCACATACTCTAAATTCATTTGTTGCCTTTATAAATATAGGGACACAAGAATATTTGAAATTTTTAAAATAAAATAAAAAATCATTGATTTTATCTCTAAAAACAAAAATATTGCATCTAATTACAGTGCACAGAATCATCAATATGTGTAATCTTACTATGAAAAGGAATGCATCTTCTCCTCTATTCCAAATATACAAAACTTAATTATAGCAGAATTTACAGAAGAGAAAACACATACATAACCCTTTTATATAAGGGTACAGCTGGAACGCTTACATCAGAGAGGGCAAGGGTTACATTCTCCTCTGACTGGATTTGTAGTAGGTGCCAAGGAGAGGGCTGAAGGAGATGTCAGGATGTGACAGCTATTGGCCACCCAGGTATCAGCATATCGTAAGAAAATAACTACATGTGTAGTTATTGGCCATCAGATATCTGCATATCGCGAGAAAATAACTGCACGTGTGAATGGATGAAAAACCAAGGAAGAACACCCAGCGGCTGACAAAGGCCGTTCCTCTGGGGAACGGAGTCAGGGGTAAGAGTGACGGGGAAAGCAGTGCAGCAGCCTCGGGATGAATTTTTACTTCTTTGTTCGAGTCCACAATGAGGATGCCATACTGCAACAATTCCTTCAGAGTTACAGTACTGCTATCATGTTTCAATACTAAGAAGAAATTTACAAAAGAAATGCCAATATGAGAACCGTGATCTAACCTTCATCCTGCCCTTTAAGAAACCTGCGGGTGCTCTTCATCAGATTAAATCTCATTCTTGTTAAGTGATCCAAAAGATTCCGTCTTGGTATGTCGTATGCATTTCTGAATGTCTGTGGCTTTAAGTCCTATGGGAAACATTCAAAGACAAAGAGAATTAGGAAACTGTCTAGCCTGCAGCATAGGTTTGAAAAAAAGATACGTAAGTTAACAAATTTAGCTTAAAAACAGAAGAGAGTTATGATGTAATCTTAATGTGCTATTTTGGGAACCAAAAGATAAAATACGGGTAGTGAATTCAACCAAAGAATCTCAAGCTCACATCTAATGCAAGATTTTATTATATAATTCTGGCTAAAAGAAACAAATCCAAATTTTTCAAGGTTTGTTTTTAAAGCTTTGCTATGTAATCGACACACCATACACCTGCCTGTGTAACCTGTGTAACCACGCGGTTCAGTGAGCGTCAGTGAGCTCACGGCGGTGCAGCCGTCACCACGACCCAGTTCCGGACCCTCCCGGCCTCCCGGAGGGTCCTCGTGCCCGTCCGCAGCCGGTCCCCAGTGCCAGCCCCAGGCAGCGACCCACCTGCTTCCCGTCTCCGCGCGGCCCATCTTACACAGGAAACCTGGCAACACCTAACATTGTCTATCTGGCGTCCTTCACTGGGCATGATGTTTCTGGGATGCATCTATGTTGTTCATGTGTCAGGAGACTATCCCTTTTTATTGTATAAAGTGGTATTCCATTATAGGGATACACCATACCTCTCACTATCTGTCTTTGATACACACTGGATTGTTTTCCGTTTGGGGGGACTATGAATAATGCCGTTATTACATATATTTTCATTTCTCTTGGGTAGATACACACAATTGCTAGTTATATAGCAAGTATGTATTTACCTTCTTGAGAAACTGCCCACTATTTCCCATTAGCAATGTGAGAGTTCCAGCTACTTTCCATCCTCACCAACACTTTATATTTTTCAGTCTTTTAACTTTCAGCCATTCCAGTGGCTGTAAAGTGGGGTCTCGTTATGGTTTTAATTTCCATTTCCTTAGTGGCCAATAAGGTTGACCATCTTTTCATGTGCCTGTTCAAGTTTGTATATCTTATTTGGTGAAGTATCTGTTCAAATATTTGCCCATTTTTTTAAACGGGGGTGTTTGTTTCTTTGTTATTGAGTTGTATTACGTTCCTTATGTATTTCGATATTAAGTTCTTTATTCAATATATGCTTTTCTCCCAGGCTTATGATCTCCTTAAGTTTCTTTTGAATTAAAAAATTTTAATTTTAATGAAGTTCGATTTATCAAGTCCTTTCTGTTTTGTATTTTAGAACTCTTCAATGATCCATGACCCAAGGTGATGTTGATTTTCTGCAGTTTTCTTTAGTTTACAGTTTAGTTCTTACATTTAGGACCACGATCACTTCAAGTGCTGTTACACAAGGGTCCGGACCCTACTTCTGAATATGGACACCCACTGCTTGTTGAGAAGACTGTACTCGTACCCTCTGAATCACCTTGGCACCTGTGTTAAATAAACACTGACCGACTCTCTGTGTGAGGGTCTACCTCTAGACGGCACTCTGTTCCACTGACCTGTGCGGTCGCCCCTGTGCCGACAACAGACAGTGTCCGTCACTACAGTTTTAACACTTTTAAAATTAGATCGTGCAAACTGTCCAATTATATTCTTTCCCAAAACTGTTCTAGCTATCCTAGTACCTTCACACTTCCACATACATTTTAGAATCAGGTTGTCAGTTTTTATAAAAAGGCTTCTGAAGTAAAGATCTGTTTAATGACGAGTATTCATGAAGTGTCCCAGGACCACATCATGCACCCCAGGTGGAAAGCGTCAAACTGCAGTGACGCCACCAAGCTACGTGACTGTAAGCAATCTCTAAGCCTCTGCTTATTCACTTATAAAGTAAATGGGTTGGTTTACTTTTTATCAGCACATCCACTCATTCACTCACCATGGACAATGTCTATTTTCATCCTAAAATTCAATGATTCAACGATAGTGCGAGGGAATGGTCATTACTCTGCAGAGGTATAAAAGTACTTCCGAAAGTCTGGACGAACTGAGTTTCAGTTAGCAGAAAATGTGATCTCGATTCAACAACATAATATCAGAATATAACTGGGGCAGCACTAAATCCGTGTAACTGTTACCTTGTTGAGCAGAGCAACCTGGAACCCAGTGTATTCTTTCATGTTCAGGTCCAGCAGTCTGTGGGGAACGTCCTCTGAAATGCCCTGCAGCAGCTGCTGAAAATCTTTCCTGTAGGCCATCGACAAACCGTGCGACCGGCTTCGGACTTTAATTCCAGTTTCCTGCACCACCTTCTTGCCTACAGACCCGATGACTCGATCAGACTCTATTTTGGCCTAAAGTACAAACAAACAAGAACTGTCTTGATGTAATCTAAATTGGTAACCTAAATTCTGTACTTTTGGTCCTCTGTAAGTCAAATATTTGTATATTTTAAAAGTATGTAAGAAATTAAAATCACGAGTGGCATACTTTATGTCAAGTACTTGGTAAATTAAACATAGTTTGAACAATGTCTTGTGATTTTAAATTATTACAATTCTAACCTGTTAGAGCGAGGCAAACAAATACAACTCTAATTGTAAACACCCACTACACTTAAACCATGAAATGTAAAGACACCCTAAATGAAAATACGCATTTCTAATTCAGAGCCGATAGAAAACTAGAAAAATCCTCTCATCGATATTTACTTAAAGACATTAGCATATAAATACATGTTCATAGATATGGCAAATAATGATGCCATTTTTCACTGGAAAGCAGATAGCATATATTTTGACTCTTTCCACCTGCATTTCAATGAGCAGTTAAGTATATACGGCAGCAGCACTGGGAAAATGATGCATCTTGTACAACTTTAATAACTTAGCAGTCAGTTAAAGTGTACACTGCTTAACCACCATAGTGTCTGCTAAGGTGATTAATGCCCAAAATGACAAAATTCAATGTCTCTTACAAATATTTCAAAAGAAATTCCCATTTTGAAAGAAAAAATCTATAGGTTTTAAGAGAAAGCAAAAAGAACTGGCATTTTTTCTAAGAAAAAACAACTTTCTAACAAATTTCTCAAAAGAAAACAAAGAATGTTCACGAACTGGAAGTCTAAGAAGCCATTTCATAAACTGGGAATTATTATTTGAAGTTAACATTTCAAAACATAGCATACCGTGCAATTGTGTTAATATATGATACATGTGGCTTTAAAATGTAATATACCAATAAAATGGAACTCTCTTAGAACCATCAAGAACATCTGGCCTGTTAACCATCTTAGCCAAAACCATTCCAAACACACGAAGGCCTCTACTTCCCCGCGTTACCTGCTGACTCAGTTTTTTGAGGTATGAAATGACACTGTAGCTGAGGCCGTACTCCATGCCGTCTGCTATGAGGTTGGGTGCCCCCATCATTCGAACAGCTTTCTTCAAAGGCTAGGGGCAGAAAAGAAAACGCCTCTTGTCAAAAATGTCAGGCTAGATTAGATGTACTATGTCCGTTTTGAAAACTTCTCCCCGCCCCCAATTTCCCCTTTTCTGCAGTAAGAGTAATATCATATCTGTATTTCAGTCAACTGTCTGTCAGTGGTATGAAAGGCAGTTTGAAAGTGTTGAAAGGGATTAGAAGCTAGAATGGTAACACCCAGGGCAAGACGGGTGAAGACCTAGACTCCTCGGAGATAGTGAATTAGGAAGAAAAGGGCAGGAGGTGCATTGCAGAGGCGGATTTGGTAGAACCTGGGTAGTAACTCCAATGGAGCCCAAGAAGGGAGATGGAGATTCCCGCTTTGGGTAACTGCACGGGCTGTAGCTCGGCCACGCACTAGCTTCGTGACCCCGTGGTCTTGGGTTCTGCAGCCTCTCTGTGCCTCAGCTTCTGATTTGCAAAATGAGAGTAACAGTGTCTACCTCGTAGGGTTGTCATGGGATTAAATGAATTAGTATATGGAAAGCACTTATAAAAGCATCTGGCACACAGTAAGCATTCAGAAGGTGTTAATCATGGCAATCATCATTACCTGAGCTGAAAGAAAACAGAAGGAAAAATAAGGAGGAGGAAGAACAGTCTAATATGTACTGTGGATGTGGTGTAATGAAACAGTATTCATTGTAAGGAGAGACCAGTGGAGAACCACTTTGGACAACGACAAGCATCACTGGCAGGAGTGTCCAGCGCGCATGAATGGGATAGAGACAGAAAAAGGATGATATTCACTGACATATCAGAAAGTGGGTGAGCACTCGTGTGAAACTAGAATCAAGTCCCAGAGATAGCACATCTCTGGTAGTTCACATCCGTGCAGCTCTGGCTAAGTCCTCCAGGTTCCTATGAAATATAAATGAGTCAACATATGTAACATTTCATATTCGAAGTGCTTCTTCCTTTCACTCTTACATGGCAGGCGTTATGTGCTAGACGTTCATACAATTTATCTCTTAAAACTGTAAAATATGATTTTTAAAGCTCAAGAAATTAATGTTCTTATAAGGGGCCATTTATGAAGATCAGTTATAGTCAAATGCTGAACTGGTTCTTGAATCAAAAGCAGAAGTAATGTCTCAAAGTGCTTTCAGTGTGGATCTTTCTGTTAAATTCCTTTTCATAAAATAAAGTAGTGTACTTACTAATACATACGTTACCGGTCTTATCTACTACGATAAACTAGATTTTAAGTAATCAGAAAATTCATGGCTTTAAAAATATATGGTTCTCTGTGAATATACACTTATGTACCTAAGAACATATTTCTGAAGACTTAGAAAATAATGCAACAAAAATAATTTTGAACCATTAGAGAGAACTAATTCTGAAACTGCAATTTAAAAAGATAGTGCAAGGCCTGAGATGAAAAGCCTACATTCAAAACGGGCTGCCTGGGACTGAATGCCAGCCCCCATATTAGCACTGTAACCCTGGACCACACAACTTATCTTTTAGTACCTTCGTGTCCTCATCTATGGAATAGGGACAATGACCATTTCTACCTCCTAGGATTACTACATAAATGAAATGGGATTAATACATGTAACGTGCATAGGATCGTAGTAGGCATAGGGTAGGCACTGTCTATACTCAAAATCATCATTATTTTGCAAATCATTAAAACATTTCTTTCCTATTACATCTATACTGGTCATGTGTACACACAATTTTCATGACATTTAACCTGTAATGGCAAAAAAGCAGGAATACTTACAATAAAGTATGAGCATAATATAAAACTTTATAACAAGTTCTATTTTTAACAATAATATCCTTACCCCAAGGTAGTAGGGAGGCATTGTCTTCAAATAACTTTCGAACGACTGTCTCCATTTCAGTGTTGGTTTTGCTTTATGCACTTTAAACAAGTCATCTATAAATGTATAATGCAAACAAACTATCATCACTCATCTTCACAGATGAAAATCAGGGCAGGTAAGTTTCTTATTTGTGAGAGGAAGAGTAACATGAGATACAAGCTTTTAACAAAATAAAAGTGGTAAAATTTTGGGTTCTGTAATTTTCAGTAAGTAATACCATTTCAAAAATGAAAAGATGCCAATTATGGTCTAAATTACAGGTAAGGATAAAAGTGGAATCGGGAAATACGAAGAAAAATTATACTCTATCTAGACCTAGACACGAGACAGGTTCCAGGACACAGGCAGCATATGTACAGAGCTTTCTATAAATGTATCTACTAATATTGTGACTATAACTTTCAAATCTGAGGAGACTCCATAAAGGAAAATTAGCCTTTTCCAGCAGTACTCAAAAATTACAGCCCGATGGTGCCCAGAAACTAACTTTAGGCTACCATGTTATTTTGGAACAAACTCATTCAGGAAACATCTGCCAGGTGGAAACGTGCGCTGAGCCCAGGAGAAGGTGGCAGGGGTGACTCACCTAAAAGGGGAAGGAGGACAGGGTAATTGTAAGGCATCACAAAGAGGTTGACACAGTTCAGCGCTGTACTGGCTTTCAAGTAACCAAACGGGTGACCCAGTTCACTGTATTTCGCACTATTGCTCACATATACCTGTTAAAAAGGAGTGATTAAAATTTCCTATTTTTATGAAGGTTAAAATCTTTACAGATTATATAAACCATTGACTCAATTTCACTTTTTAAGAAACACTGAACTTAGATCAGCTCACCTGCCAACATGTTTGAGGAGATTTCCTTTCCAGGATAAACTGAGTCAGTGGGGAAGGTTCCAACTCGTATTTGTCAAAAGGCAATTTGTCAATAACCATTGGTTCACAGTCTGTACAGGAAAACTTCACTACAGGATGAGACGTACGAGGTGGCTAGAGGGAAAAGTTTCATTAGTCTTTATGCAAAATACCAGAGACAAACTCATTTTCAGTATCAACTACCAAAACGGGCTCTAACTAGTTTTGCTAGTTAGAGTTCAGTTTACTAGGTAAAGCAACTTTAACTGAAAAATCTTAGAAATGCAGTTTAAATTATTTAATATTCAAAAGAAAGATAAAGCACTTCAAAATCTACACAAAATGAAAATCTCTTTAGGTTTAAAATATAAATTTTTGGAATTAAGTACTCATGTTCATGTCCGAGGAACATAGAGAAACCTTCAGTTTTAAGTACTCACTTGTGGCAATTTAATTTCTTATATAGTGGCCTCCAAACAGATCGATCATACACCTTGGTCAGTAAAAGGTGTTGAATATACAGTAAGCTAGGACATCACACATTGAAACATTATTTGCAAGCCTGGGACAGGCACCAGGCAGAAGGCGTGTGTCCTGGGCAGATCTGACTGGCTCCACCCTCCTCTCCTCGGTCCTCTGGCCTTCGGGTGGGTGGGGGGGGGCGGGGCGAGGGGAGCGCTGGGGGCGTGGTGATTCCCAGCCTGCGATCCTGAATCGTGACCTAACTACTAATACTGGTTGGAAAGCGGAAAATAAAGAAATAAAACCTCACCGATCCGAGATTGGTGAGGGAAATGTGAGCTACCGGGAAATAATTTGAAATTTCGTAGCTATAAAGGGTTCTTCTTAGCCTCAGCTACTCTGCGCACTGGCGGCCCCCACGTCCGCTCACTGCCCGCACGCCCACGACTGCTGCTGCACGTGACCCGGACCTCCGGAGATCCCACCCCACAAAACCTACTCTAAACACCTAGATGTCATCCTTCATACCCTGCCCTTACCCTGCACATGTAACTGTCACAAAGACCAGGTAAAACGATCCCACAGACTCGAAGGCACTGAGCAGAGGACACACACACACGGCAGGTGCACAGCGCTCAGCGTCCGTCTCTCCGGAGACGTGTCTCCACGTCCTACCACGCCAGGCCACGCCTTCATTCTCAGACTACACTGAAATAACCGCTTCTTTCTTATCAATCTCCCTAATCAATTAGCCCCCTCTAATCCCATGGCCATCAAATTTAATATAAAAGTTGATTCGGTGCTCAGTTGTCTTTAACTTCATTTGAAACAATTTTGTTAAGACTGTATTTTGGCAGCTGTCATATCAGCGTGCATTTTTAAAAACATATCAAAATTGGTGAATTTTTGTGTAGCTATTTTCATGTTGAAGATGAAAGAAAATACGTTTCAGCATACTACTTGAAATACTTTATTATTTCAAGAACGGTAAAAATGCGACTGAAATGCAGGAAGAGGTTTGTGCGGTGTGTAGAGAAGGAGCTGTGACTGATCGAATGTGTCAGAGGTGGTTTCTCGGGTTTGTGCTGGAGATTTCTCGCTGGATGATGCTCCATGGCCTGGCAGACCTGCTGAGGCTGATAGCGATCAGACTGAGACATTAATTGAGAACAATCCATGTTAGACCACGTGGGAGACATCCAACATATTCAAAATATCCAAATCAATGAAGCTACTGGTGCAAATGAAAAATGTGTCTTATATTTTATGGAAAAAAACACATGGATGTTTTGGCCAGCCCAATAATTATGCTATCTAAAATTATTTGGTAAAAGTAATAAATGATCACCTAAAAATAGGGTCCAAACTCTTAATATGATACACAAAGACCTCCGACGGTCGGGTCCGTACCCGCCTTTCACCCACCACACCGTGCGTGCCCTGTGCTCTAGCCATGCCAAACTACTTGCAATTGCTCAAACAGACCATCATCTTTCATGCCCCCAAATTTCACAATTTGCCTGACTGCTTTAATATTTCCTCTCTTACATACTGCAAATAAAGTTTTGAAGTCTGAACCGGCAAGTTATCAACCACGAAAAGACTTCCTCCCTGACACCCCTTCCCGCCCTGTACCCCAAGCACATACCGGGCAGTTAGGTACCGCTTCCCTGTGGGAGGGTTCTGCTCTGCCCCTCGGTTACAGTTTACACGCTGTACTCTACTACGTTTCTTCTATTTCTGACCTTCCCATAAATGCTAACGTCCAACAGGGTGAGCACAATGTTTTACTCAACTTGTGCCATTCACCTCGTGCTCCCGTGAACCCAGCATGCACCTAACACACAGCTTATCGCATCTGTCCATGGAACTCGCTCCTTTCCTGGATGAACATACTGAGGTCCAAGAGGAAAAAGGAGGGGGAAGGAGTCCTCTGGAACTTGGCAAAGACACTCTGAATTCATTGTTTCATTTACTCCCCCAAACAATCCTATGGGATAGGAGCTACTATCATCCTTTAACAGATGGAAAATTAAGGCATAGAGAAGATAATTAACCAAAGGTACATAACTAATCATCGTGGTAGAGCCACGATTCAAATTCAGAATCAGTCTCTAATAAATGACACTTAAATTTCAATATCATTACTTCTTATCTGAAATAGTTATTCATAAAAATGTCATTTCCCTCTAATATCCTTCAGTTACTAAATTTTGCCAGTTCTTTCCAATATTATCTTTCTTATGATTCTCTCTTCCATCATCTCAATCCAAACTCTTAATATGTCTTATGTGAACCATAATAGCCCAACAGGAAACCTGCTTACCTTCCAACACGTCTCCTACTTTTGCTGCAGATAACCACCACCAGATTAACTTTCCTAAAGCAGCACTCTATAAAAATGCCTTCAGTTATTCTTTGAGCCCCACTGGAAAAAGCTTAAATTCCTTAACCTTGCATTTAAAGTCATGAACAATTTGGTTCATTTACTAGTACTCTCAATATTCTGCGTATGTGTTATGACCCACCTATACTCAGCTACTTGCTATTCCCCTAAATATACCTTGTTCTTTTTTACTTCCACATTTTTTTCTCATTCCTTTCCTCCTCCCACTGAAATCCTACCCACACTTAAAATCCGCTATGGCTCGTAACAATTTACAACAGACAACTAGAGTAATATTAATAGATAATGATTGTGATATTGATTTTGAATTTCTATTATGATGAGACAAAGTACCATACATACTACTGAGGGTATTAAATAAAGACAATCAAAAGAATACCAATAAAGCAGTATTTCATACAACTATGGTATCTGTTCTATAAGAGTCGAAAAAGCTCCAGAAGAGAAAGTAAAATGAACAGAGAAACTGAATTTCTCTATAAGATCAGACTAAAAAACTATGATGGTTCAATCAGAACAAAAAGAAAAGGAATAAAGAAGATACCTTACTGAAATTTATTAATCTTAATTTTAATGAACCCCAAATGAATAAAGGAAATTATCACTTTATAGATGTTAAATAGATTAAAAGTAACTAATATCCTGAAGAGTTGATATAGGTTTCAAGTACAAAAGATGTCAAATAGGATGCAGTTTAATCTGTCAGTGATATCTGGGTTTTAAGTGGTATCTGCCTGATACCTGAAATACAATCTTGTCTTCTAAGGGTGGGATGTCATCTCTCCCACAAAAGAGCCCAGGGTGTCCTCATGTACTAGAAAAAATACTGATGTGAAAGGACATGTGGCAACAAGATTAAGTAGGTATGCTGTATAGTTTTACCCTATTGTCAGAAAAACTACATAGTGAACGCTGATAATTCACCAGAACCTTTCAACAAGCTTTACTGTTTCCAAAAAATAATTCATAAGCAAGACCAGAAAACCATTTCTATCTTAAACCTCCAGACTGATGAAAAATAGAACTAAAACCATGCAAGTCAACATAAATTTGTAAAACTAAATCCTAAAAGACTGCAGGCAAATGGTCAAAATGATGGTGTAAGCCTTCATTTAAATTCTAAATTGTGTCCCTGGGACAAATCTTCATGTTGTATTATGTTTAGAGTCCAAAGAGAACTCATGAAACATTTATGATTCTGTACCCAGACGCTAAAAAAAAAAAAACAACAACAAAGACCCATAAGCAAGTATTAGTTCCAAAGGGACCAGGTGCCTTTTTCCCATTACTACATAATGAACAATACAGTATACTAAAGCAATTAATAGCTTATCACAACACTTTGAACACTGTAACTTCTGTAAATTAGCCACATATTTAATTGAAAGTAATACTTAACACTAATATAAAAAGCAGATAAATGGTTACTATTGCAAAGTCACAGTCTGGTACTTACTAATGTTGGAGAATTCTGATCTGGCCAAAAAGACTCTGGAACCGGCCAGTGACCTATAGGAACCCCCGTTTTAGGGTTTGGTCTGACATATATGAGTTTGTGGCAGCTATGCCACGGCTGGGATCCGAAAGGCCTTGCTATATCTGGCTGCCCATCTACGGCAAAGAAATTAAGACCAAAAAAGAAAAAGCATATATCATTAAGGAGAAAAAGCATCATCAAAAGTTCAGTGATCTCTATTATTACTTAACTTAATAAAAAGGTCCTAATACTTGCTCAATTCCGAACTTTCCTCTTTTCCTTAAATGGTAGAATACCATCATGACCGCTTAACATCTAGATCAGATTAAATTTCCCTAGAGAGTAAAGCCTGCAAACACCAGCCATGAGTTCAACAGCTGAAAACAGGTCCCACAGCATCCTTTTCTTGTCCAATCAGAATATGTAAAACATACTTTATGGTAACTAGTTGTTTAATGAATAATACGTTTCTCCCACCAGATTATAAGGGCAAACACTCAATTTCTTCATCACTGTGCTTGGCTTAGTAAATACTAGGTAAGTATTGCTAAATAAATAATCATTTCAACTAAAGCCTAATAACTTAAAAAAAATGAATAAGCAAATCCTGAATCGAAGTGCCTACCCTTTATCTGAAATAATTCTATCAAAATAGCAACTCTCTATCTGAAATAATTCTATCAAAATAGTAAACATTTATTTAGCACCCAACTCTAAACCAAACAATAAAATAATCTAAAAATAAATACATTCCATGCTTAACTATTCAATTAAAAGAAAATGTTTAAAGAAAAAGCAGAAACAGCGAGACAATTTACATAATCTTGCCACCTTCTGCTCCTTGCCTATAATCCCCCGCTGAGGGCACCCAATTTTCCATCTCCATGGCCCCTCGCCCTCCCACGCTAGTGGGTCGCCTCTGCCAAACGTCAGTACCGGCCTTCTAATTCCTGCTGCCCGCTCCATCGTACAGCGCAGAGGGCCTGGGTGTAAGAGCTGTCCATTGGCTCTAGCGCAACTCCTTAAACACTCTGACATAAACAGTCCATGATCACAGAATGTTAGAACACAGCCAGGTGGAGCTGAGCTAGAGATGAGTAATCAGGCTTCCCAGTAAAGGCTGGGTCCTCGTTTTTGGAACCACGTAAACCGTTTGTTTCGGCCTAGTTTGGTCCTTAGAAAAGATATAACTAGGCAACTAAATAAACACACTTGTGAATTCAGACAAATGGGGGAAGCATATATACAGGAGAGAACATTATAATACTAAAAAGGAAATATGAGCTTGCTCATCTGTAAATACTTAAAAACTTTTTTGGCTCTTATAAAATTTCATGCTATGAACAATCAATATAAAAAAGTGTTGTTACTCCCTGGCTGGTGTGGCTCAGTGGATTGACTGCTGGCCTGTGAACCAAAGGGTCGCTGGTTCAATTCCCAGTCAGGGCACATGCATGGGTTGTGGGCCAGGTCCCCAGTAGGAGGCACATGAGAGGCAACCACACATTGATGTTTCTCTCCCTCTCTTTCTCCCTCCTATCCCCTCTGTCTAGAAATAAATAAATAAAATCTTTAAAAAAAGTGATGTTACTGAACCACTGTCAGTTTACCTTGACTTTCCTAATTAATCTTCCCTCTTTACCAATAGCTGTTCTGTCATCTTAATAATCTGGTCTTGTCAATCTTAAGGCAAAATCATACTTAGTTTTTCAATTCTAGTTAAATAACTGATACAGCAAGTTCAGAATGTCTGTAATAGAAGTGCAACGATACCTTCTACCGGGGAAGGATCCGGCCCTGCCTTTTCGAAGTTTATGACCACCCCACTTTGCACCTTCTGCACCAAGGACTCCAGACACTGATTAAGCATTCTTGGAGAACACACAGAGTATGAGCGGCCTGAGATTTAAAAAAGAAAAAAGGTAAAATGAAGTCTGTTGCACAAATTCCTACCTTTAGCAAGAAAGAATAATAGTGGCGTTTCTGACAGTAATGATTAACAAAAGTTCAATGGTAAAGTTTGACTTACTGCATTATCTTATGGGAGAATGAACAAAACAGTTACTTTCAATAAACCAACAATTCCATATAAATTTTTTCCCAATTATCAGTAAATGGAAAATACAAATCTTGGTCTGAACAAATCACAATAAAAAAGGTCATCTTTTACTTATTTATGTATATTATATAAAATGCGATTTACATAAAATATACATTATATATGTATATTATGTGATTTATATATAATATACATTACGTATGTATATTATATAAAATGTGATTTCAAAAATATATACATGAGAAACTATCTCTGGCTGTTATCCAATACAATTTATCCTTACTATACACACACAACATCTAGTATCTAACTGCCCCAAATCTTACCCCTGCTTAACAAAAGTGTATTTTCAGTAAGATTAATGCTAAGCACATAGTAGATACTTAATTATTTCATTAGTCTGATGATAGTTACTGCTTGTTTTAAACATTTGCATTTTAATATACAAAGGGTAGCGTATGCTCTTCTAAATTTCATCTGTCTTACATGCTTGAGAATCATCTATCTTAAGTAAATTTCCCTTCTGAATATTTTATGATCTGTAGGATTTTTGGTTCAGAAGCATTAAAATGCTAGTGATAAAAAAAATACCAATGAAAAGATCTCTTGAACGGAGAACTTCAGTATATCTAGACCTGTGTGGACCCGAGGTGGCTGGACACGTGCGGCTACTAAGAATTTGAAACGCGGCTAGTCCAAGGTGAGATGTATAGTAAATATAAAATACGTGCCAGATTTTGCAGACTTAATATGAAAATGATGTAAAATGTCAACAATGTTTAAATATAGATTTCACGTGGAAATAATATTTTATATATTGAATTAAGGTATTAAAAATAATTTCACTTGTTTCTTTTTAATGTGACTACTATAACATTTATAACTACACATTTAACTTGTATCATATTTCTATTATATGTGTTTATGTAGAACAATACTGAAAACCTTAACAGCCAAAACAACCTTTAATAAAACACCTTACAACGTAATTTTTAATGAGCTCAACATGGAATTTTACAGATTCAACAATTCAACCAAACACGGCTGTATCATTACCTCCAACATACCAAATTACTCACACCAATTTATACTTAACATGTGATTTGCTAAAGGCTACTCAGAAAAAAAAAAAAACATTAAAAAGCAGTGGGATTCAAATCCTCAGAGTCAGCTTTACTGAGAAAAACAAGTATCACGTAACAAACAACTTACCCGTGTACGGTAATGATAGTAATCATAAAAACACCTACCAATTACCGAGCGTCTGTCTATGTGCCTGGCACTATTCTCATCACTTTATCATATTTATTTATTAATCCTAGCAACAACGTGTGAGTTACTTTTTCCATTTTGCAAATAAGAAAACCAAAGCAGCCAGAAGTTAAATAATTTAACTAAGGTGGTACAGTAGTACAAGGCAAGATTCAAACCTTTAGGGTATTAGAAACTTCAATCTGGGTATACTTTGTTCCCTGGAAGTCAAAGTATTAATTTGAAATCAATATTTAAAACAGAATGTCTATATGGACTCACAGTTATTTGAAAGAATTAGTCAGTTAAAACATTTCTCAATTTAAACAGGTACATAAAATAATACATAAGAAGGCTGACCATCTTATCTTAACACACAAATGATGTAGAAGACTATATAAAGGCTGAATATCTTGTTTCATGACACTTAAGTATATTCCCAAGAAGCCATTAAAAAACAAAAGTTTTAATTGTGGCAATTCTCTCTACTCCCCTGACCTGTGTCTTCAGTTCACTGATAGGAAAATGTAAGTAAATAAGTAATGATCTTAGTATGAAATAAAACTACTAACAAAGATGTTTAACAAAAATTAGAGGAAAGTGAATAAACTTGAGTGTGAATAAAGTTAAGTCACCTAGCAAATAACAAAAACCCATTAGTTCTTTTGCAACTTAAAGGGAAATAGCAATTTTTGCTGTCTTTACATAGTGATCCATATCCTATATAATGTGTCTCTTATACTCTATGTCAAAACTCACCTCTTGGGATGCATGATACTTTGTTTGAAACATAAAGTTTCTAGGATCATTAATTATATTTGTGTGAAAAGCACACACCTTTAAGTTAAGAAGCTGGCTTACTTGTGGTTACATAGAGTCCACACACACACACAATCAAACTAAATATAATGAGTCTGAAGGCAGTAAAGTGGGAAAAAAAAAACTTCCCCACAGAAGTCTACTATTTAGCATCTTAGTATAAGAAAGAAGAGACAAAAAGAACATTTCTAAACTTGGCAACAGTTCTTACAGAAGCTAAGGAAGTTAAACTGATTTAATCGAGAAAACTGTCTTACTATTTTATGAAATGCTTTTGACCCTCCATACTTCCACCACCATCTCCATTAGACATTTTTTAATTTGGTACCTTCCCTCTGCTACCTGCCACCTCCCCAAGCACCACCCCCCCAATTCACTCCCCTTGTTCGGGCTCACTGGCCAACCTGGGAACCACCCCAGGTCCCTCCTTCCCGCTCCGCCCTCATCCCTGGGCCTGCACTGCATAGGCTCCCCTCCCACCCCCACACCCAGCACTCTGGCCCCAAGTGCTGCCGTCCCCTACTAGTCCCTGCTGCCGTTCCTGCCACTTTACAGTGTATTTCCAACTAGCAGCTCAGTGATCTTTCAGGAATAGGGATCAGATGTCGCCGCCTATAAAAAGCCCTCCAGTGGCTTCTCATCACACTAGAAAACAGCAAATATTTCTTATGACCTAAAAGGCTATTCGATGTCTGGTCCTCGCCCACCTCTCTCCACCCGTCACTCTCTGCCCTTCCGCATCGGCGACAGCCACGCCGGCCTTCCTGCTGCCCCGCCCTCTGCCCAGGTCTCTGTGTGGTTTCCTCCACTGCTCAGATCTCAGCTCGCCTATTAGAGACCTACTGTGGTCATCACCTCGCAATATATACAAATCCAGACTCACTTGTGTTGTACACCCGAAACCAATGCAACACTGTATGTCAATTTAACCTCAACTGGGAAAAGAGGCGGGTCGATGGACATGCAGCAACAATAATTCTGGTGGGATTAATATCTTTAAGACACACCAGGGCTGATTTAATCCCTTTCAAACAAGTGACATTAACTTCGAGATTAGAAATATGCAAATGTAATTTATTTTAAAAACTGCTGTTTTATTTACTTCTTTACACAAGCCTCACAATCTTCAAGGATAAGCAGTATTTCAAATTGATTCAAACTGGGGCAAGCATAATCCTTAGGTTGGTGATAAAAAAGGGGGGCACCTCCTCAGAAGACTCTCGAAGAACACTCATTGTCTGTCTCAAGTTACCCTCTCTACCCTCACACTTCTTTCCCTTCACATTAAGGAGCACTCCTTAAAATAATCTTTAGTCATTTCACATGCTTTCCTGTCACGCAGTCCCACAATGTGAGCTGGCCACTGCTCCTGTCGTGTCCCAGCATCAGAAACAGTGACTTGGCACAGAGTGGGTACTCATAAATTACCTGATAGTAAAAGAAAAATGCTGACGATGACAATTATACATTTGTTTAAAGAGCATACATAAAAAACATAACGAAGTATTAATTATTTTGGCAACACAGCAAGTTTCTTTCCAATTTTTCTTCAGTAAGTATAAATTATAGTGGAAAAAAAAATGTATACACACTGCTCTTATCATTAAGTTTTAAACAATACACAAGAAAAAATGCACGAGAATTATTAGCAGTGATTACATACTGCATAGTTCAATGCCAACGGATATTAGCTTTCCTGCTCTTTCTACTTTTTTGATGTCTTATCCTCAAAACTTTCTTCAGTGAACAATAAAGAAAACATATTATCAAGATACATGAAAAGCATATGAGCAACTTCCCATTATTGTTTAGCAGGGGCATGAAAAGAGGCAAATAATCTGGTACATCAGGAGAGACTCAGGATGTATATTTGGGAAAGCCCCTAATTTCTTAACCAACTAAGGTTTCTGGGTCATTAAAAGAAATGACCAAGAATGACTCTGGAACCTTCGCCCCTGGAGGGGTTCCCTTCCAGGAACAAACAATGTAACGTTGGTGTACTCCTGCCCAAAGGCAAGGACATGAACCACAACATGACGTCTCCGGTTCTTTTCAGACCCTCTCTGACTGTGCCACTCACTGCATTTCACATTCTGAATATTCTTGATCCTAGAAGACAAAATGCTGTCCCATAACTTTACCACGATTCTGAGTTCGGTCTAACTAATTTACAGTAAGGCTTTCCAATGTGAGAATGTTTAAATTACAGACCCTTCTCAAGGCCCCTCTATCACCTGTTAAGTGAAAACCCTAGAGTTAAAAAAAAAAAAAGAAATGAAAATCATCATCATTTTAGCAAGTGGGTCAGTTCAAGGCTGAAAACCAGAATTTCCTGAATACAAATGTGCATCACCCACAGAAACAATTAGGACTATCACTGAAAAATATTATCCACACAGAGAATCATCAGAAGTGAATCTTCAAATTGGGATGACAGGTTTCCCTTTAAAAGTTTATGCACACATCTTTTTTGCTTTTAGATTAAAATGTGAAGGCATTGTAAGAGTTCACCAAAAAGTGCTTCTATTAAATGGGAACATTTAAAAATAGAATACCAACTTCCTAACCTATCTACTTCGCATACCCTTTTTGTCTGTGAAGTTTGCAGAGTTCAGAAACTCATGGAATTTTAGAAGAAAAGCACTATAATATCCATGAGACCTTATACTTTCCTTTAACTTCCATAGCTGGCTATGACAAATCTCAGGAGAGCACCAACTGTCTAGAGACCCTGCCACAGGTCCCCGACACAAGGGAATTGGTGGTGTGCCACACACGGGCCTTTTAGCGTCAAATTCTTTCAGTGAGAACTGAAATGCTCCGTGCAAACAGGAATACGGAGTCTGCCGTATTCACTGCTGAAGTCATGGAGCAGCGGCACGCAGTAGGGGCTCGATACATGTCTACACAAATTAATCCACCTGTTAGCCAGTTCCCCATCAAAGTCGTTCTGCGCCTATCACGTATTCCGTTTCAATCGTGTTATTGCTCACTTGGCACAGTGACCTCCTGGACTGGCTGGATACAACCCGGGCCTCCTCTCACCCGTCCAGCTTCCCCGTGCCTCTGGGGAAACCCGCGGTTACCAGGCTTTAATCATTACATGCACAATGGGCAACGAGATGACTCTCAAAACATTTTTCACAGAAAATAATTCTACATTTGTAAATCATTGGCGAACTCTGTAGATAAGAACATACGCTCAACAACTTCAAATACCAGCATTTTCTATGTAGGAAAAAAAACACACTGCTCATTATGAGAGCCAATAGATTTCACATCCTGTTCAAATCAAATCACAGACCTTCATCGATGTAGTTTTAAAACCATGTATGTCTACTAATTACTGTTATCATAACTCGTCAAACACAAGCAAACACTGAGTTTCTGAAATGCACGTTTTTAAACCATGCCGATGACCGGCTCCGTCGCCGACTCGCTGCCGGCAGAAAACTCACCGCCTGTCACTTCACACATGGGTGTGATCGCAGAGTCATCCAAGGGCACGCCGGTCAGCTGCTCCGACTCCACGGACATGGTGCCCGGCAGGCGCAACACCAGCGCGAAGAGTCTCTGATCCCAGCGGAAAGGTTCCTTGGTCAACTCACTCCCAGGCAAAGGAGAATTAAGAGGTAAGTGGAGCTGAAAGGGGAAAAAAAAACCGGTCAGATTTCCGCACACTATGAAGGCCACATCAATTACACCTATGTTAACACGACACGAGTCTCTCATCACTCAGAAAACAGCTCAACAACGAGAGGGTGTGCGGGCACCACTGAGCGGCACACGGGACTGCCACTTCCATTTTCTGAAGCCCTCCTCTGGAGCCCTCAATTGGGGAAAAACCTGCTGCTGTAATGCTTTCCAGGTTCTAATTCTACTAACCCCCCAGCGCTGGACTGCTTCCCAATGTATCATTTCACTTCATCTTAAAACAACACTTATTATTCCTATTTTCTAGTTTTTTAAAAAGTGGGTCTCTGAAAAAATGAATGATTTTAGCCCCCTGGGTCTAAGTCCGCACTTTTTCTATTACAGATAAGCAGCCTTAATTAAACACCTCTACTGTCAATAATTTAAATATGCCTCACTGTATACAAAAAGTATGTCCCCAAAGCATTTGCGTAAAAGTAAATTTTGTCACTCGAATTGCATATCAAACGTATTCAAGACAATGATTCCTGCCACATCTGATTAAAAATAGAGGGTTTGGGGGCTTTTGCATTTGTTTTTTAATGGTTCTCCCCATCCCCATCAGATCTGCTAAATCAGAATCAAAGATTCTTAAAAATCTTCAAAAGCCTTTAAGTGAATCTAATGAGCACACCTAAACAGGGCCAACAGACAGTATGTGTTCTCAGGGTGTAAGGCAATAGGAGTAACACAGCAAAAGGAAAGAAAAAGGGGAAAGGAAAGAAAGGCTGACCCGGCCTCTAACTGAGTCTCTAGTCCTAGCAGTCCGTTTGCAGGGACGACTGGGGAAACGGGAGGCTCGCGTTTACCGGGGAGCAGTCAGTGAGACCCAGCGGGGAGACATTCTGCAGAAACTAATGTGAGAAAGCACAGAGTGGGGGGTGAGGGAGGCTGGTGGAACTGTCCCAGAATACAAGACAAAGCCATCAAAAGCAAAGATTTTTGAAACAACTGGGAAAATTTGAAATATATGTTACTGGAATTATTAATAACATTTTAAGTGTGATGATAATATGGTGCTTAGGAAAACTAAAATCTTTTAACACACAAAATTTTTAAAAATAAAAATAAAGCTCAGGATCAGCGTACTCGGGAACTTACCTACACAAATACTAGATTTTTCTTCAAATTTCAGAACACACGTTAAAATGATCACTTGCAAACTCATTGTCAGGGTTTATGCTACTTTCTTCATAAAGACGTACTTGCATTGCTTACAGCCTCTCTGTTTCTCGCCTCGGAGATTTCCGAACTTAATAAAGTACAGACTGAAGCCATTCGACACGAATGGAAGGCTGCAGTTTCTTCGCTGACTCACACCAAACCACCGAAAGAAAACCAGGTTCTGAGGAGAGAGCGCCAAGTAAGGCCCTGCAAACGGTCACCGCTCTCTGAAAGGTCTGCGCCAAGACACCATGACTCCTTTTCCAAGATCAGCCAAGGTCTGGGGGCCGTGGGCGGCCAGGAGTCATGAGCTCTGCCTCTAGCTCTGACCCTGCTCCAGGCAGAAGTCAGAGCAGTGAGGAAGGAAGGGTGAAGGAAATCTGGGCCAAGATGTTCTCTGAGGAAGGTTCGAGAACCTCCGGAACATCAACGCACCAGTGGCACTGGCAGAAAAGAGTTTCAACCGCTACTGCTTTGAGAAGTCACGAATACGTGGGACTACCTCAAGAATCCAGTGGGCAGCAGCACTGCCGAGACCTCATCTGTAAGGTAAGTGGGGGGTAGAAAAATGACAGAGACCTCATACTATAAACACAAACACACACACACGAACAACTAATCAGGTAAAAATCTGACTCACACAAACAACTAATCAGATAATAATGAAAATCTACAAGGCAGACAACATACAATAAAATAATTGGCCTTTGGCTGTATCGTGCAAGACCTAGAACATATTTCAAGTAAAATAAACAAAAAACCAGGAAGGATCACAAGCTTATTTTACATATGGCTATATCAATTTTATAAACTTGCCACATTTTATTCATTTTTCTGTCTTTTATTATTTCCGATTCCCATATCACCACTCTCTCTCATCACCGAACAGGAAAAGGAAGAGGAAGAGGAAGAATCCTCTACAGCTGAAATGTGCTCGTAAAACAGGAAGAAGTGATGGCAGGCAAACAGGGACAGGCAAAAAATTAAAAGCTTGAAGAAAAATACTCTTAGAAGGGTTAAGTTGCCCAAACTCTGAAGTCTACAGGTGAAATTCCAGCGATATCTTACAATTAGAAGGGAAGGTCCCTCTGAATGCATGGGCTTTGGGAATCTAAGCAAACTGCAAATAAATCAGTAAGAAAAATATGAAGTATTAGAAAAGTATGCCTTAAAAATAGATAATTCCCAAATGTGAAATATGGGCAAAAAAAAAAAAATACTCAAAGAATTCCATATGGCCTGTAAGTATGTAGAAAGATGCTCAAATACACTATCATCAGACAATGCAAATTAAAAAATCAAAGGTACCATTTCATGCCCACAACATTAGCAAAATTTAAAGCTGACTACACCAAGTGGTGACCAGTATACGTGTACAGAGCAGCGGGCACTCCCCACCACTCCTACACACAGCCATTCTGGAGAACAATCTGATGTCTGGTCAGCTGCTCATGAGCACAAACTAGGGTCCAGCAAGGCCACCTCTGGTTGCAGACGAACTGTCATGTATTTTCACAAGAGGTCCCATAAAGGAACACTATCTACAGCGGTATTTTAAATGGGGGAAAAATGAAAACAAACTAAAAGTCCAATAAGGGAATCAATAAACAAACCATGGTCTGTCCATAAACCAGAGTTAAAATGAATAAACCCGATTTCTAAAATCCAACACACATCGATCTCAAAACAGTATTTTTTGGATAGTACACGCTTAAAAACATCCACGTCTGCACACATAAAAGAACATAAACCGTGACCGTGTAGCCGGATGAGTTCTGACAAGCCAAATGCCCTTGTGTAACTAGCACCTTCCTGATCAATGCCCCCCGCCCCCAGCCCCTTCCCTTTTCCAAGTGAATAGTTACGTCTGATTTTGAACTTTGCATAAATGGAAATGCAGAGTTTGGTCTCTTTGGTTTATGGCTTCTCCCACTCAATGTAACAGGGGTGAGACTCACCCATACCACTGCATGGGACTGTAGGTTATTTGTTCCCATTACCGTACAGCATGTGTGTGTGGTGGGGGGAGAGGGAAGAATGAACTGCAATTTATCCATTTTTTATTGAGAGGCATTTGGGTTGTTTCTAGTTTAGGTATATCATGAACAGCAACTATGAAATTATAGTACACATCTTCACGGAACATATGCACGCATTTCTGTATTTCTGTTGGATGTGTGCCTAGAAGCACTGTCACTGGGTTCACGGCATCTGAATATATTTACTTTCATTACCGCCAGTTTCCCCAAGTGGCTGCACCCATTTATCCTCCAACCAGCAGGGTACAAGAACACCGGCTGCTCTGTATCTCCCTGCCCAGCACTCGGCGTGGCTACCTTTTCCACCGCAGCCCTTCTGGGTGCGTGTAGTGGTGCCTCGGTGGGACCCCTGAAGCCTAGGGAAGCTGAACATCTCGCGTACATTTCTTGGCCATTGTTGCTGGGCTGCTCTTTCATGAAGTGCCTATTAATTTCTGCCTGCTTTTAAAAAAATCCAGTTATCTTTTTCTTATTGGCTTGAAGGATTACTACTATATTCCAGATGAGTCCTTTGTTGGATATGAGCATTACAAATACCTCCTTCCACTGGGGGGCGGGGCCCAGCTCTGAGCTGAGCCCTGAGAACTCCCGGACCGTCAGAGGGACCAGCAACAGAGGGCGGCCGGGGGTCCTCTCCAGAGGCAAAGGAAAGGGGGATATTCCTACTCCACCAATCACGGAAGTGCTCGGGAAATGGGGAGAAATGCAAAGTTTTCTTGAGAAATATCACCCTGATAAAGAAGTAGCAAGCCATGCAATCAATGTGTTCATTGACAACGTGATGTTTCACTCCAGGAGAAAACAAACGTCCCTGGTTCAAGGCTCTAGTGAGCCGGAGGCCCCGTGAGCCTGGAGCATGCGCTGGTGGGAGCCAGGAGGCGCCGCAGGAGAGAGAACCCCTGCAGAGCAGCTGCCTGGGCTCCCCTTCCAAACAGTGACACGCGCTTCTCCCTCCTCTCCACAGTCAGCCATCAACTGCCCTCACAAAGGCAAGTTCTAGTGTGCGCGTACATTTTTATTTTTCACTGTGCATTCCATTTCCTTTTTGTTCCATTCATGTATTCCAGTCCTTTTTGTTTTCAAAGTGTTTATTTACAGATTAAACAGTATACCAGACATATACTATATATAAGAAAGATGAAAACAGGATCATTTGGGGATCTGGAACAGGTTAATTCAATTTGCATGCTTTCTAATGGGAAAAATAATCCAGTTTTCAAACAAATCACTTCTCAAACAGCCTTTGGAATGAACTAAGTTCAAGAACCAAGGTTCCACTGTAATGTTAAAAAATTAGTCATTGACAACAGCCACACACTTACCATTAGATGGCAGACATTGCTCTAAGCCCTTCATGTACACTAATCCATTTACTCCACAGGCACCACCATAACTCCTACTTACAAGCGATAAAAGCTGAGGCACGGGCGGTTCAGTAACTTGCTGGAAGATACATGGTCAATGAAGAGAAGACAGAATTGAAACCAAGTAACCCGGCCTCTGATTCTGTATTCTTTTTTTTTTTAGATTTTATTTATTTATTTTTAGAGAGAGAGGAAGGGAAGGGGAGACACGGAAGGAGAAAGAGAAGGAAAGAAACATCAATGTGTGGTTGCCTCTTGTGTGCCCCTTGCCAGGGATCTGGCCAGCAACCCAGCCATGTGCCCTGACTGGGATTCAAACCACGACCTTTGGTTTGCAGGCCGGCGCTTTATCTACTGAGCCACACCAGCCAGGCTGAGTCTG